TATTTTTCGCTGCTTGTGGCCCTATAAAAGAGAACCAATCCATTGGCAAGAAAAGAAGGAGAAGGATCGTTAATACTCTTGCTATTTTTCATAATATAACATATTTTATATAAAATATTATTTTTTCCCACCAAATACCACTAACTAACTATAAAATTCTCTGAATAATAAACTAAACTCTTCTAAGTAATATTTTATAGGATAGTCTCGATATTTTACGATACATAATTAATTTTAACTGATATTATTAATTTATATAAATTTATTATTAGATGCTTTTGGCCAGGATAAAATTATTAGATGCTCATAACAATGACAAGAAGAACTAGGTTAAAACTTGCTATGATAGATTCAAATATTGCATTTTATTTTTCATTTTAATTAGAATTAGAATAATTCTTTACATATAACGCACAACATTTTCATCCCCTTCCCTCGATTTTCCTGCCAAACGAAAAGGTCAGGCTGCTGCAGAAATTATACGGTAAAAGCTTATTTCTTTTTTTTTTTTGGTCTAAGTCTAAATTGTCATTAATATATGATGAAATGGAATGTGTTACTATCACGTATTATATTTTCTCATTATTTAACATATTTTTAATTTCACATCATGTCGAAAATTTTTGTATCTTCTTGTGTGTGGAAGTGGAACTGTGGATGGGGCTAATGCCAATTTTGAATACATGTTTTCAAATGCAATGGAATAATTAAATATCTATGATATTAGCATTTAAAATTTTCATAATTAGTTTTCTAACAAAATAAATTATTATTTTTCGAGAATCATAATAATATTTTATTGTCGTTACAATCTTTTCAACGTTATGTGAGTGTTGTTGTTTGAGAATAATTATAAGCTTAAGATATTATTATATCATTGAGAATATTAAATGGCATTGTCAATAATAAGATTTTTTTTCTCTGGGGGAAACAAGGTGTTGAGTTGAATTGAGCATTGTTAAAATTTTAAAGTGAGTGGTTGAATAATTAATTAATTACTACTAATTATTGATCGATTGGGATTGAAGGAATATCTATTTGTGGGAGGCAGATTTCTGTCCGATTCAGGCGAGAGGATTGGAAAAGTCAAAATTGGACGTCTTTTTCATGCACAGCCATAGCCTCTTTCTTTTCCTTTTCGCCTTTTTAGCTGTGAATTTCAAAAAACAACTGTATAGTTGAATTAAACAGTTTAACATGGATTTCAACTATGATTTTAATACAATAAAATTATAATATTAAAAATATAATTAACTACTTTTCCATCATTTTAGCATATACTTCCTTCCAGTCACATGATTTCCACTCCCTTCCTCTCAAACATCGGCTTGGGACCTAATAATTAAAACTCTATTTGGATTCACGATTAATAAATACTTACATAAGTTAAAATTTAAAAATTTTCATATATACTTACTTCATATTTTGTAAGTTACGATAAAAAGATATTTATAAGCCATTTCAAATACTCTAAACAGTATTTAATTAAATTTATTTATTTTAGGTGATTTTACGCTGCATGAAATAAATATATAAGAGATTTATTTCATAAAATGTAAAAGATTTTCTAAGTGAGTCCATGAGTTGTCAGACAAGCACTAAAATCTTTTCCATCAAAACCAAAACACGTTAGTTCATATTTTCTTTTTATATATGAATTAGACGAATGTGCGTGCAAATTTATTTAAGCGTCCTAAAACGAAGAATGAAAGATTTGTTTTAGTCAGGTCCTTGATTTCAATTATATTTTTGTATAGTTGGCTGTTTTTTTTTTCACATCGAAAAAAACAATTGTGCTTGATGAAGGTTGAACTTTTGGTGAACAATTATTTAGAATAACTTTTTTTCTGCCGACGAATGCATTTATACAGCAGCATATTCACTTTTATATATTGTTGGCGCTAGGATGTTTAAAAAAAAAATGTTGTGGTTGCTACTGTTACATCGACCTGTATTTATTTGAGTTTTGTAAATTAATTGACGTAATTATTAAATACTTTGACTAAATACAATGACAAAAGTCAATAACGTGCCTTACAAAATTAAGAGAGACTTCCTTGCAAGTAATGATACTCTGCAGCTACCACTAATGCGTTAAAGAATAAGACTTTTTCCCCTGTTTAATTGACTAAATGTTTTTAACATCGTTTTGTGCTGCCACCCTCTGGTTTTGTCTTATTGTTGTCTTTTTTTTTTTTTTGCCTGCAATTTAATTTTTTGATAATTTAATGGAACAAGATTACAAAATAAGTTTGGAATCTAACCAAAACCAGGATGGACCTCAATTGGTTCACATTCTGATAACGTAATGATGGTTGGATACGCCTCCCAAAGAGTTGTGGCCCATGATATATATATATATATATATATATACTCCACCGGTCCTTAATATAAGACCCATTTAACTAATTTGATTAGATTAAGAAAGTTAGGTAAGTTAGTTAATTATAAGAAAAGTGACAAATTTTTCCTAAAACACCATAATCATCTTTCTTAATATCTCCTCTCCCTCTTCTACTTGATTATGGTTGAGGGAGTATCTATAGGGGTAATTTAGAGAAAATTGATAAATATGAGAAATGGGTCTTATATTTAGGACCAAAACCAACTCAAGAATTGGGTCCTATATTAAGGACCGGAGGAGTATATATATTATTTATGATTCTTAATATAAGAGTTTGTTTGACTTTTAATTTGATCATAAATATAAAACACAAATATATTTTGTCTATCATATTTATCTATTTTTTAAAAATAATTCTTATAGTAGTTACACATGTTAAATATTCAAACAAATAATAATTTTAGTTAATACTCCTCCGGTCCTTAATATAAGACCCAATTATTGAGTTGGTTTTGGTCCTAAATATAAGACTCATTTCTCATATTTATCAATTTTCTCTAAATTACCCCTATGGATACTCCCTCAACCATAATCAAGTAAAAGAAGAATACGAGGTATTAAGAAAGATGATTATGGTATTTTAGGAAAAACATGTCACATTTTTTATAATTAACTAACATACCTAACTTTCTTAATCTAATCAAATTAGTTAAATGAGTTTTATATTAAGGACCGGAAGAGTACATAATTAATAAGAGTATTTTAAAGAAAACAATACTTAATTATTATAAATAACTAACTTAATAAATTTTCTTAATCTATTTAAATCAGCTAAGTAGTTTTTATATTAAGAAAAGGAGGTAGTATATATATAAGTTGACGGAATGTTAGTTCCAAAGTCTTTCAAAATGAATCATTATCGTTATCATTATTATTATTGTTGTTATAAACAATAATAATGAGTATTGTTGGATGAATTACAACAAAGGGACTAACTTTAGGATTGGAGCATTATAAAACTTGATGATAAAGCCACACCAACGACTGCTTTTGGACACACATGTATAATTTATGACCAAGCGAAAGGGGAAAAAAAAAAATTTACAACACGGCCCTTTTTTTCTTCAACTGCAGGTTTTATTGCGTCCGTGGCTTCATCCTTCATGATTTCACTTTGTGCTCATAGCAGATAATAAATTAAACTCCATGCACAAAATGTATATATATTTCATAATAAAGAAATATACCAAAAACGCGTTATCAGGCAAATGGGGAAAAGGTCTTGCAATAATGTATCAATAATACAGAAAGATTTTAAAAATAAAAAAAACTTCAAAGTGCCTGGAGGAGTTGGAATATATGCAAAACATAATTCTCTACAATCCCAACTACAGACTATAAACAGTCCAATCAGGTGAATGCATGAAACGGAATCTAACTCTATAAACTCTGGTTGCTCTCCAAGATGGCTCAATTCTGTCAAAATCCTCACGGGTGGCATGTCATTTTCAACTTTCACCGCGACTTTGATGGCAGGCAAAAAAAAAAAAAAATCACTCATGACTTTGATAAATTTTAATGGGTGACTCAGATGAGTAGGCCCGACACTAAAAGTATATATATTGGTCAGATTCCGGCATGATTCATCCGCAACAAGCTTGGATATACAGAATAAGACAAGACCAAGACAACTACCGTTACTAATGAGGTCTGAAAATGTTGCTTTAGGCTGATCAATTCAATGGTTTCACATAGCTGACAATCACTTCAACATGTGTTGTGGATGTAAATTTATTACCCAAGAAAAGAGAAGAAAAATGCAGGACCAAAATTAGGTGTTTGATCTGGTGAGCGATGGGATCTGTATTATATATTACAGGAAGAACTGGATCCAACTGGTGGATGTGAGGTGTGTGAATTGTGAGATAGGTGAAAGCTTTAGGCACATGCTATGTTGTGGAGCGATCTTTGCTTATACGGCAGCCTTGACGCAGAAGATTCAAAATACAAAAGTGGAAAGGAATTTGTCAGCAGCAGAAGCAGAGAGGGAGAAAGCGAACGGTACTTTTGAGCTGTCCAGTCTGAATTCAACATGCTGAGACTTGAGAGCACACATGTTATAGGATGCTCCAGAGTCATATGAAACACGCCAAGCCCAACTTAAAGTTACAACTCCATAATATTTTGGCTATCTAAGAATAACCCACAAGCCCAAATGTTGTCGAGAATCACACACAGAGTGTTAGGCCATGAAACAAAAATCAGAATATGCCCACATTGTCATATTATTTCTTAGGTGAGGATTGGCTGTTCATACATTTTGGCTTCTTAAATTTTTCAACTCTGAGGCGTGGCGATTCATCTGAAAAAGAAGATATTGTCATGTTTGATCTGTTATTTAATGCAATCTCGCAACTCATTTTAAAAAGAAAAATTGTTGGGCACTTATTTATTCATTTGAGACCTTACTGTCTTTTTCCCAATATTTTAACTGAGCTAACTTTTCACTCTTGTACTGTAATGCCCAGGTCTGGATGGAGAAGATGCAAATGAGGCTATGTCTGTTCATGCGTTCTCTATTACATGAAGGAGTGAGCATGGACTCAATGAGCCCAAGAGAACTTACACAAATAGAATAAGCTCATATAGACGGGAATGGCCAGTTTTAACTTGCAAATCAATTAATTATAGCTTAACCATAGATCTAGTACCGATCCAATCTTAATATAGTAGCATTGAAAGCGGTACATTTAAATATCGGATATATATGAGAGAATTACAACAAGATCTTAAAAAGAGAAAATAATAACTAAAAAGTTGCAATGACAAATTAGAAGTTGTCATTTTCTACCTTACTTGTTATTGCAAACTGTTTAGTTGTAATTAAGACTTTTTAGTAATTATGTTTTTCCTTACAGGCTTTATTGCAATTCTCCCTCTATTACATATATATATATATATATATATATATAAAACATTTAACAAGGTTGGGATATGCCGATACTAGGAGAATTAGATGGTGGAGTCCAAGGCCATGATGGTGGTGAGGTTCATAGGACTCATATACTGAGTAGGTCCGCTCAAGATTTGCTGCACTATGAAGCCCAGAGCACGTTGGGTTGGATGGAAAGCGTCCCAAAAGGCATAGATATCTCTGTTTGGGCAGAGGTTGGACAATGGGTTGCACTGTCCCACCCCATTGTACGCTCCTTGACCACAACATGCGACCTTGGATGTCACAAAACCTGTCAATATTCCCATGTCACCATTACCAAACACTACCCAAAAAAAAAATGCTAAACTTGATGTGTAACGTTATGAAATGTTAAGATAAAGACCAAATCTTTGAGGGTTGGTGATGAAGTCCATGTTCATTTGAAAGGCATTGACAGTGACGAACACATCAGACCCCACTTGGGCATTGAGCTCTTGGGTCATTTGAACCAGCAATGGATTGAAGATCTGAGCAGCTCGTTGCAACTCTGGCACGCACTCTCCGTTTCTGCTTCTCTGGGCTAGCTGCGACGGCACGCACCCCAGTGGACCTGTCCCGGTTACAAGCACCCTACGAGCCCCCAACTCATACAACCTCTGTGTCACTTGTTACATCAGCCCATATGGTCTCCATCAAACATAAAAAACCAGAAAAAAGGAATATATATAGTTAATGTTATTACCGTGAGGATTTTTCTGTACTCTGAGATGAGGTAGCGCGAGAACTGAGGGACGGTGAATTGGCGGGACCTCACAGTGACAGGCGTGACGAAATAATTATTGACGAAGTCGTTACCGCCAAGTGTCATCAGCACAAGCGCTCCATTCACTATCTTCTCTGCTCGGGCTGCCCCTACCAACCCACTTAGCCGCTGCTGGTACTGCTGAAACAGTTCAAATTGCTGGAAAATCCTTATGATGCCGACCTGTAGGTTTTTTTTTTTTTTAATGTTAGTCTGAATCTGCATTTTTATAGGGATTAAATAGAAAGGAGGGGATAGTTTCTCACAAATTGGATGCCTGTGTCGTTGAGAATTCCTATCCCTGCGGAAGCAAAGTTGGCTCCGACTAAGAGCTTCTGGCCGCTAAGCTGAGGGCTCAAGTATGGCAACGTGGGTTCAGAGCCAATCCGCTGACTGATGATGTCAGGGAGGTTGAAGCCATTAGAGAAGCGACCCGTGGGTCGATGGGTGGGATAGTCAATGCCGTAGGGAGGAGAGTCGGCACGCGCCGGGGTGGCCAAGTAGTTGTTGTTGCCACTGTCAACCAGTGAGTCCCCAAACACGAAGAAAGCTCGAGCTCCCTCCGCTTTCTCCGCAGCCAATGCGGTGAGGGCCACCACCAGTATCGCCACCGTCACTCTAAACTTGGGCATAACCATATTGTTGTTTCAAAGACCTTTTTAAGTTTTTTAATTTCTCTCGGCACTTGCTTCTGCTGCATGTCTGATCTTTATATAAGGGTGTGATCACACTATCATGTTCTTTTTCCCCGCGTTACCCGAGTACCTGTAACTTTCAGTTATAGTTTAAAACAAACTAATCTCGCTCGTTACTGGATATTTAACGGATGCGAGTGGTTAAATTAAACTGAGAAAGTGGGGAGTTAAAAAAGTTGTGCAGTTGTGCATGACAATGAGGATAAACGTATATTTAATGTGTCTGGTGCCCGACAAAAAACATGAATGCACCAGAAAATGGGGTCTCGTCCTGTTACTTGGTGCTGCTACGTTGCACTATAAGTCAACCATTTATCAAGAGTGTCAGTTCACTAGTCTAAGTTTTCAATCTTGTATCATAAAGCTTACTAGTACATTGTGGCTAATTAAGTACTGTTCTTCTACCCTTCTGCTTTTCCCCTTCAGTTTTCAATTTTTTTGCGTGAGAGACAAACCGTCGGCATAAAAAATTTACCTGGTGTACTCCAAAAGGTTTAAATTTTAATTCTTTGGATCCTATATATTCGATATATTCTTTACGTCAACACTACTAAACAAACACAGTCTTAAAATTTTCGGAGACACACATATATGTGTGCGTACATTTTTGTGTGATGATATTTTCAGCTGAGGCAACAAAATTCTTGGCACTTGCATTGCATACACGGTCACTTGCAAAGATGATTGACTTCAAAAAAATCTTATCTATGGATAAATATGTCAACATCAGGTCATTAAACCCTTTTTCGTTTCAGTGTACTGTGGTGCATGCAGTGCATGAGTGGAGGGAAACATGGCGTTTCCAATCCATCACTTCGTTGGCAATTGTCAATCGGGTCGTTTTTATGATATTAATGAACATTAAAATGGCATACACTCCAAAAGCACTGTAGTATGAGTAACCTGGCAGCTTGTGCGCCAAGTTCTTCAGGTTTCTCCGGTTTATTGATTAGGTTGGCATAAAGGAGACCTCCCTTAAGCTAAGACGCCCACGTGAAATCCATAAATGGCTACCACCAAACAAGATCGTTTTGGATCTTCCCTTGTCCCTCACCAAACTGTTTCTTCAAATGCTATACAATCTAGCTTGAAGAAAAACAAATGACACACAGCTCTGGTAGAATTCTATGAATGGTTTCTCATTTGGCACACAAACAGATTAAAACGTTGCTGATGCTAATGCAGACTATAGCAGAAGTAATGTACGAGTCTGGAATTCTGTTATTTCCCTGACATTGAATTGAAGTTCATGTGCAGCCATGTACGCTTAATCTCATGACCCAGCCTCTCTCAACCAGACTCGCTGTAATTTTCTTTCCGAATCCGCGGACATTGTCTTCAGTTACGTACGATTCTAGCAATGTGCTGCGGATCTATAGCATCCTCGTGTGTATATATATACGTGTGTGTGTGTGTGATCAGACTACCAAATTGTCCTACCCATTTATTTTCATCTGGGTTACTTCACTTACTTGATGGCTTTCCGAGAAAAAAAGTTCAACAATTTACAAGAGGATATATATATATATATATATATATTTTTCCGGTAGCATTGCTTCAACAGCTTTGTCGAAAAGAACCAAAAAGTATTTCCATATCGAGCTAATGAAAAAAGGAAGGCTGTTCACGAGAACTTTGGAATTGATGGACGCCAGCTACCGATATCATTGAGAATCCCAACAAACTTTTCGGCCATTAACTTCTTACTGCGTCTTTCGTTTTTGGGTCGCGAACCTTATTTGGCCCAATTCTAACTTATTATTGTTTCACCTAAAATTATAATAATAGTTTTTTTTAATAAAACGTTAAATTTTTATCATTGAAATTTGATCCAATAGTGATTAAAAAAAATAGGGGTGATGTAAGAAAAAGGAGAGGTGGAGGAGAGAATTAACTCATTCTCCGGCATCTCGTGCGTCTTTGTTGCTGCATCTTACAAAAATATTGTGAAATTTTCATATTAATTGGTCATAAATTTCAGGTGATTTTGATTTGATGAATAATGTTTGGAAGAAGATTACTTTCAACTAGGAAGATACCTTAACAAAACAGAATTAGCTAGTTGTAACGGAGCTTATAATTCTGAAAGTTTTTTTATTGGTTGAAATTTTTTAATGAAACTAAAAAATTATTTATGGAAAATAAAAGTTGAGAAACTTCTATTCACATCTTCGAACTCAAAAATAGTTAATATTCCTTTGGTTCCGGACATAAGACTCGTTTTATAGTGTAATTTTACATTACAAAACAGGTCTTATGTCCAGAATCGGAAGAGTATCAAATAATACAAATTTCAACAACTAATTTTAAGGCTTACAGAAGGTCTTTGAATGGGTTTTTGAAAGTTTAACACATTTATTTAGTTAGCAATCATAGAAACACATCTAAGTGTTGCTGCCAACTAACTAGTAGTTAATTAACACTAGAGATTTTTGTAGTTAAATTTGACACTACTTGAAGTTACCTTAGTAATATTGAGCATCAAATATCAAATAATCATATTAAAAAAATTTAACAATTTATGACCAGGTTTTAATACAATGCCTTATTAAAAATTTTAAAGAAAGAAAAAAAATAATTTTGGCTTTAATATTTTCAATCAGTTTGTAGTTCAGTTCCTGTTATTTCGGACTTTACACGCCGCTTTTCAACGGTTAAACTCATCATGTCCTGCTGACCCAAAAAAAAAAAAAAAGGGCCATTACCTCACGGGGGTTTTTTCAGAGTTTCAAATTTAATTCAGAGTCGGTTGCTTCTCAACCCTGGAATTGGCGCGCATATTCGTGACCGTTGCGCTCCAGGCTCTCTCCCCTCCAGGCCGTCGACTCGAGGGGTCTCAAGAGAAGCCGTCGCGTCCACCACAGCCAAGTCGCCGTCATGTTGCACTGTTAAGTTTTCTCTTGCTTTTCCTTTCCCTTTGTATTCTCCATTTGGTGCTGGTTTCCTTGCCCCTTTTTATGGTTTTTCCCCTCCCGGCCTTGCGTTGCTTTTTCTGCATCTTGCATTATTACCTTGCTTTTTGTCTTTGGTATTGTCTGTTTTCGCGGGTCGACGGCTATGGATATTCATGAATGTTCAGCCGATTATTGTCTGTTTGGGTTTCGCAATTTTTTTTTTTTTTTTTTTACTTCTGGCCGGAATCTCAGAGTTTTTATATGTGGCTTGAGATTTAAAATTCAACGTTTAACAAATTCATTTTTAGCAAGTTTTGAATTCCAATGACTTTTCTCCCAGCCTCTCTTATGGGTCATCGGTTGAAAGCTGCAACTCATGGGATGCATGGGCAGAGGCACTTAGTACTAAACTGAACCGATCTTAGCTGACAACTTGGTTTTGAACTGCTTCACAATATTAGATGTTTGACATATTTTTTAGCTTCTTGCATGGGATATAGGTAACAACCGATTATTGCAGGGAAGCACATGGTATTTGCAACTTGGTTTAATTTATAAGTGGCTTACGAATACAAATGACCAATGAATCATATGCGGTTGCTGCTACATAAATGATGGCCTGCTTAACCTGATGGAAAGCGTTTGTTTCTGTTAAGTTTCCTAGATAATCTTAGATTTGTCGCTACTGCTTATGTGTATTATTTTGGGCTGAAGACTTTTATGCTTACTTTTCTTGTCATTACTACTTATGTGTGTTTTTTCTTTTTTTTGGTGAAGACTTTTATGCCTACTTTTCTTTCCCTTACTATTTATGTTAAGTTTCCTTTCATGGATAGCTTGAGATGTGTCGGGATGGAATAAGTTGAGATTGATTATTTAGGAATGGGGGAAAATTGAGATTGATGCCTCCTTATGAATGTGGGAAAATTGAGAATATTTTAGAGGCTTGAACTTGGCATGAAAAGTTGCCTTAATTATTTTTGCATGCCTTGCGATCCTTTGGAATTCATTGCATGAATTATGCGCAATATGAGAGTTTTTTTAAGGAAATTGTTGCCCACTCTTCTTAAGGTGCACAAAAATAAATATGGGGTGTGCTTTTGCTTCAGCTTAGACTCTCTGTGTCTTTGCTGCTTTATAGCCCCTTTACATATAATTTGTCAAATTTTTTATATCTGTGCACTTGCAAAGATTAATGATCCTATTCGATGCATCATTTCATGCATGATTTTGATTCTTATTTATGAATTTGGGAATATTGAGATTATGCCTATTGGCAAATGTGGGAATATCAAAATTGATATGCCTATTTATGAATATGAGAAAATCGAGATTGGTGCCTACTTATGAACGTGGGAAAATTGAGATTGATGCCTATTTATGAATGTGGGAAAATTGAGATTGATGCCCATTTATGAATGTGGGAAAATCGAGATTGATGCCGATTGGTGAATGTGAAAAAATTGTGATTGATGCCTATTTACCGATGTGAAGATTGGTGCCTATATATGAATGTGGGAGAATCGAGATGCCTATTTACGAATGTGAAAAAATCGAGATTGATGCCTATTTATGAATGTGGGAAAAATTGATGTCTATTTAAGAATGTGGGAAAACTGAGATTGATGCCTATGTGGGAAAATTGAATTTGATCTCTATTTACGAATATGGGAAAAATGAGACTGACGCCTAGTTACAAATGTGAGAAAATTGAGACTGATGCCTATTGATGAATGTGGAAAAATTGAGATCGATGCCTTTTTACAAATATGGGAAAAATGAGATTTTTGGCTCCTTGCAACTGCTGAAAAATTGAGATTCATTTAGGAGCTTGAACTTGGCATGCAAAGTTGCCTACATTGCTCCGGTACACTTGGCCCGCTCTTCATATCTTCCAAAGGTTGGTCGTTATATCCATTTTCCTGCTCTGTTTCCTTTCTTTTGAAAACAGGAAAGAGGCCATTTCTGATTTTAGTGGCCTTTTGTTTTCATGGATTTTGTTAGATAATAAATAAATTGAACTAGATCTTGGGCCCAGTTTGTTGCATGAAATCTGAGGCTTAAAGCTGCGTGGTTCACGGCCCATTGACCAATGTGGCTTTGAGTATGATGTTATTCTTCTTTTTGATATCTAAATACCCTTATTGATTATTGGCCAAAGAACTACCCTTATTGATTAACGAAAAGCAATGGAGATGTGTTAGTGTTGAACACGGGCCGAAGCTTAAATATGTGAGACAAAAGAAGCCCAATTCTGGCGTTTAGTCCAGCGTACGTTTTGTATCAGGGGGTATTTTAGGGAATGGATACTTGTTAGTTATAGGGGGAGAGTGGGTATATGTATGGGGGGATCTTTTCTGTTAGAGGCATGAGAGAATTGGTGAGTTGCGTAGGAGAGTCTGTGCCTCTCGAATGTGCAGAGTGGAGAGAACCTTGTAATTCCAGATTTCATTTCTGGCTGTGGAACCTTTTTCCAGTGATCGAATATTACTTGGAGAGCCTGTGGCTCCATTAAAGGTATCAGAGCAGTCGCACCTGGGGTATGGTTCAAACTCGCGTGGAGTCCAGAATGGATGGTTTTGATTCCCGAATGATGCAGGCCGAGCAGGGGATTGATCGGTTGACTTCCGATATGTCTTCCATGAAGACAGATATGGCTACGATGAAGTGCGATCTTATGACCTTAACGTCTATGATGACAGAGGTGGCCGCTAGCTTGCGTTCAGGAAATTGACCTACAGAGCATGATGTTCAGGGTGGTGAATCATCTCAATCACCAGGGTCGTCGGCTCCGCAGGTTACTGATTCCCGTCCGCGGGTCATTACGATCGAAGAGTCCAATGGGGGTGGTGGAGGAGACAATTCCCATTAACGCAAACTGGATATGCCTCTTTTTTCTGGAGACGAGCCTCTTAGCTGGATTTTTAAGATCGAACGTTACTTTAAATTCAACAAGGTGGCTGATTCTGAGAAGCTAGATGCAGCGCTACTGGGTTTCGAAGGGCGCGCCCTTAACTGGTTCCAGTGGAAGGAGGTAAGAGCTCCGGTGGGATCCTGGGTAGACTTAAAACAAGATTTAATTCTGCGTTTTCATCTTTCACAATGTGGAAACACGTATGAGATGCTGATGGCTTTGCGCCAATATCAGACAGTAGCAGAGTATATTGAACGTTTTGAATTGTTATCTGCGACTCTGAGTAATTGTGATGAGGAGGTCTTGATTGCTGCATTTTTGAATGGTCTTAAACTTGATATTAAGGCGGATTTATGTCTGCTGAAGCTTCACACGTTGGCCGAGTATATGGATATGGCATTAAGACTCGAAGAGCGGAATGGAGTTTTGACTCATCTCTATAGTCCCCGTACCGTTGGGCCCTACAAATCATGGGCCAAAGAAAAAAAACTCTCCCACCCGACTCAGCTACACACGTCCGACCCCTTCTCCTGACACGGGGAAGATGACTGCGTCTACCCAACTTACCATGGTTAAGACCACCGATAACAAACCCCCATCAGATGATTCGAAGAAGACAGCGATTCCTATCACCTATGCTACTAAATCTGTTCCAAAGAAATATACTGATGCCGAGATTGAACGCTGTCGGGAGCTAGGCCTCTGTTTCAAATGTGGTGAAAAATATCGTCCAGGTCACCGTTGCAAAAAGAAACAACTCCAGGTTCTGATAATGTCTGAGGACAATGCTGATGACCCACTTAAGTCGGTCGAGCCTGTTGCACCTGACACAACCGAGGGTGGAGTTGCTGTGGACAAAGAAGCACCTTCTGGGCAACTCATGTCCCTTTCTTTGAATACATTAGCAGGATTTACGGGTGGCAAAACTATCAAGCTAATGGGATCATTGGGTGGCCGCACTGTCCTTATCCTCATAGATTGCAGTGCTACTCATAGTTTCATACACCATGACTTGGTCTCTGCTTTATCCTTGCCGTTAGACCCCAATATAGCCTTCACTGTTCAGGTCGGTGATGCGCGTCACGTTCGTGGCAGAGGGGTTTGTCGCGACGTTTCATTACTGGTTCAAGGCTTACATATCATCCACTCGCTTTATCCTTTTCAGTTAGGTGGCTCTGACGTTATTCTTGGTGCTGATTGGTTATCTTCTTTAGGAGAAGTGTTAGTCAGTTGGAAACATTCCACCCTTAAAATTGACCTCGGAGAGGAATGGGTCTGTCTTAAGGGTAACCCCACCTTACATAGAACTCCCATGACTTTTAATTCACTTTGCCGGACCACACGCCATGATGATGATGTTTTCTTTGTGGAATTCACTGAGCTAAAAATGACAGAGTTGACCTACTCTCCTTTAACGGAGGATATCCAGAACTTGCTTGCGGAGTTCCCTACAGTGCAAAATCCAGCTCTTGGGCTACCACCACCACGGGTAGTGGACCATACCATTGACCTGCAACCAGGAG